TTATAAACGTTATTTATAATGACAGAATTACGTTCGGTAATGACACTATCATTCTTTATGTCCACAAATAAACCAGTTAATGAAGTGAACTAATCACGGATGCTTGCAGAGTAATAATATTGTTTTTTTTTCCAACTAAACTAACTCTCATGAAATATACATTATACGGTATACCACTGTGTGTTTTCAAGTACATTGTATATAATGCATTGTATATTATACAACACTGCCAACGGCAAAAATAATGTGTTTACTTAATACATAGATTTTTTCAACAAATCTCAATTTGTTATAAGGCATAAGTGCATAATGACGGAAGGCGAATATACTTTGAAGAAGACCAACTGTCTGATGGTATAACAGTATGTGATTCGTATATCCAACTGCCAACAAGTAACAACGTTATGTACAACATAATAATAATATTATATATTATTATACACACACATGTAGTTTTCGAAATGGTATCGATTTAATCCTGGGAAAATACCGTCGAACCGACCATTATGTTTCCGTTACTGGCCAGACAAAATGTATTATAATAAAGGCGTCATGATGAATGCTTAATAATTGTGAGATTTTTTTCCCTTCTGTATTTCTTTTGTGCGTCGCTCATTAGGGAACAAATTATTATTTTATTTCCGTGCACCGGAACTAAAACACTGTTTTGTAATTTTCACTGGGGAATGTTTATATAGACACGTTGTGTTTGTATAGTATGTGGCACGCAAGGGCTTGGGTGTACGAACTCGTGTGAGATGGCCATTATAGTATATTATCCGGCGAAGAACTCGTCGAATCATCTTTAGATTAATACACTGACACATCCCATTTGTTTTACAGCCTGTTTCGTTGTGCGCACAACCTATTACACATAATATTACAAACGCACATGTATGTACTTATTTTGGAACATACGAGTATCATTACTTATTACACGAAAACTGGGAAGTTATACCTACAATTGCACAACGAGGTATGACTTTTAGAAACCAATCGTTAAGGGGTTAAGCACTTTGTAATAAAAAAAAACCAACAAAACCCTAAGCTGTTTATAATCTGATAAAAAAATTATTTTACGATACGGGTGGATGAGTATTATTTTATACTTTGGAATTTAATACAAACCTTAAAAGGAAATAAATTTTGGTTTTATGATCTGTACAAAAATCTTTCTAGTAAAATCTAGTTTGAGAGTAAAGATAATAAGAAAAACTTTTTGACTAGATTTATTGTATACCTTTTTTCATGTTCTTTTATTTAACATCATACATCGTCAAGAACCTTTACTATGTCATCATTCAACAGTTGAATTTTTACGATGTGGGGTTATTCACCTCAAACAATCAATCTCGGTTGTATCTTACAGGGAAGAGGTCATAATTGGGTTCACTGCACCGCGGTTACATTATATTACTGTAACTTTAATGCAGAATACGTCATGTTTGCTAGCCGTATATTTACTATATATTATACCAACCTACACATTTAAATTGTAATCTTGATATGAAATACAATAAACTCTAGAAGATTTCCCTAGTGAATACAACAATTGATATAGTGTGCTCCGATATAAAATTCCGTCGGCTACGCGAATATTAGTGGATAAAAAAATATGTACAAATTGTTTATACAATTATATAATGCTTTATATGTAATCATGTATATCATTTAAATTAATAACATAATTAAAAAAAAAAATGATTTAATGATACACTAAGTTTGGTCTCGTGAAAACCCTGTACTTATCTATAATATAGGTACCTAGATATATCCATGTCCATATAGATAATATACATCTAAACAATAAAATGAGGAATATAAGTCATTTGAATAAAATATTTTTAAAATGTTAATATTAAACATAAAATAGTTGTGTCGAAGGAAGGAATTTGTTATAGTTAATCATATTGTCACGGTTAATTGAAGTGCATTAAAAGATAATACTGTTTGCAAGCACTTACATTCGAGAAACATATAGTATAAAAATAAATGTAAATTTGTTATTCAATAGTCAAGGCGGCCTTAGTTGTAAGAAATAAATTTGCATGGTAAAAAATATAAAGTTGCGCTTTTTTGGCATATATTTTTTAAAATTCTAAATATAAGTGGCATTACATATCATATTTTTATATAAATTGAAATAAATAACCAATTCCTAAAATATTTTTAAATGGCTTAATCTTATTTATTTAAGATTGTTTAATAACATTATTAGCGTTTACAATATAATAAACCATTAGCATTTTAAGTTTATATATAACGTATTACATTGCTATTGAGAATACATATTATCTTTTACTTCAGATGACAACTACACGTTCCTTATATATGCTCAGGTATTTTAATGATTTTTGTTGGGAACAATTATTATAAAAGAAAACTTATCTTTCTTAACCTTTTAACTGATGTCATAATTTATAAGTGCACTCTTGGTAAATCTTGGTCAATTTTTCTTGACACCGTAGTGGATGTTTGAAAGACTTGCCAAGTTTATATATTGAGTCTGTACCATTATTTGCAATTTAAAAAACCGTGTTCACATCACTAAGTTTATTCGATTCAGTATACTGTCGTCTAGTTCATTAAAACAAGCGTCTTATTAATTGTGAGTTAAATATTTTTCTTAAAACTATTATATTCAATTTTTTTTTCTTGTAGAATATATTTGTTGTGTTACCGATATGGTTAAAAACCCATTGGCTGAAATAATATTTAGATTTTTATATTAATTGCATACTGCTTTATAGTTTTTAGGCGATATTATAATTCCTGTCGAACCGATTTAAAAACATTATTATGAAACTGGATTGAATGAACATTAATGTCATTGATTTGTTTGGTACTTTTTTTTTTACTTTCTCAGACGAGCCATCTGCGGCTAGGGTTGTAGAAAATTGTCGGCAATAAAATAAAATGGAATGAACATTTCGAAATCGCCGTCTTCTTATTGGCAAACAGTTAACAGTCGCAGGTCATTTTTTCACCCTATGTAGGACATACAATGTAAAAATAAAGTATATAAGTACAAGTACACGATTTAATAGAGTTAAAACTATTTGAAGCGCTACCTTTGTGTATCTATAGCAGCTGTATTAATGCGGCGTATCCGAACAACGTAGGTGGAAAATTGCTCGAGGCGCTAACGATGATCGCATTAGACCTATTTAATAGATAGAAAGAAACAGATAGATACAGCCACCGATACTAGGAAGGCAAAATAACAACAGAGTGTAATAATCATCACATTATTACGAACCTACTTCTTTTTTTGTCACATGCTCATCGCACGATCATCGTGCATTTATTATTTGGCCACGAAAAAAAAAATAAGATCCATTCTATATTTCTTGTTATTTCCACGGGCATCAATTTGATTAATGTAGTAGGTTATCTTAATGATAAACACATTGCCCGTCTAAGATGACTATAAAACTGTAGTCAAACGATTGGTAGAGGTTTCTCCCAATGATTTTACCATCCAGTTTGATACAAATTATTTATAATAAACATTTCTTTAACCGGTATTTTTGATTTATGATCAGAAATTAATTTTATATAAACCGTGGATATTTTTCATCTCGAAATTAGCAATAAAAAATCTAAAATGTCAACTCTTGTAGAACCAATTTTAACTGGGTGATTAAAAATGCAATAATATAGGAGTTTTTATGTTTTTCTATTTTAATAATTAATTTACAATTTGTTTAACTTACATCTTGTGTCTTGACTATTGGTTCTTTCTACAGCGACGGAATTAAAGAGTACTTATCCAAAATAGAATAGGGGACTTTTTAAAGACTTAATATTTATTTATCCAGAAACTTATTTAGGCTCCTTTTAATTTACCACTGTCATTACAAACACAATGATACATTTAATAAGATTAACGGAAGAAAACGTAGTTTTTTGTTTGTAAAACTCAAATGAAAATTCTAATATTGTGGGATAAATACTTTCGCATGATATCATATATATATATATATAATATTCGTTACTTTAGCATTTATTTAACTCATCAGGTCCAACTTTTTCAAAACACCATGAATTAATGTATATGTGACATGGGATTCAATAAACAAATTATATTAGTAATAATATTAATACAAATATCAATTTCTTTTGAAAATTGTTATTGTATTGATCTAATTTTTTGAAAGAATTAAAAATACTATAAGTTTATTAGAAACAATAAATTGAAATTCTAGTACCTTAACAGGTTAAGCGCCATGTAGGGCCCATCGACTCTACGGGTTACTTTACACTATGAATTTAGAGACCCTACGCGCCGAAAAAAATAAGTTGCACATGTAGGGCCTAAAGACCCTACGTGGCGTTATTGACATAATACACCGTAGGGTCCATAAACCCTACATGGCGTCATGATATTAGTTATTTTTTTTTTGCCTTGGCGCTTAACCTGTTAAAACAAATGGATAATAAATGACTTTAAAGTGAACATGCGCAAATTATTTCGAATATAAGCAAAGTTCGTGAGCCATGACCATCATAATATACGTTTTTCGGCGTTTTATAATAATATCGACAGCACTTCGTCGCGGTGACTAATTTTGCATAAAAATTCGAATGAGCCAGATTCGAGAATGTTTCGTTTACGAAGACTAATCAAATTCAAAATTATATATTTCGTTGTGTTATAAATCTACTTATAAATTAGTAATAATTTGCGGTTCGTTCAATTGGTTTTTGCGGTTCGTGCTTCACGGTAGTTGTTTTAGCGTCGCGATTACTGATGAATCCCCGGGATTTCGTTTTCTTTTCAAATATTTACTATACTCATTTAGAGCGTTCGTGAAACTTCTCCGGCCGAACAAATGCGCTCGTGCTAATTTGCATGAATTTACCTACGTGGTCGCCTAGGGACAAGCGAATTTTTTTTTTTCTTTAATTCCACTTATCAGCATGGACACTGACATTGCAACGGTTAACGTGGTTTTCTCCCACGAAGAGTCGTTAACCGGCTCGCCGTACACCAGCCGGCTCTTCGAACACCCAGTCTCCGGAGAGTCTCTCACCTGACCAGTTTCGCTTGTGTATTCACTCGTGCATGTCGTCGACCGCGTGCATACAAACCAAAACAGTGTAAAGTGTAAACAGTCACCGTGTACAAGTACTACTCGCGCGGTGTTTTTTATTTTTTTTATTTTAAGTTAACGCGACAGTTTAGTTGGTTCTATCGCTTTGTTTATCCATATTTGATTTTGTGTTGACCGCGATCGCGTGCGGCCCACTGCGTTGTTATGTGTAAAAAATGAACAGATACTACGAGGCGTACCCGAGAAGTGGAACCATGTTGACCCTGCCGCCGCCTCCTTTGGCCGACCCGTCGGCCACGTGGAACTCTTACAGTTCGGAACCGGTAAAAGCTCTGGGCAACCGCATCAAACCCGACAGGAACAGGCACGCGGTGAACGTGCAGAAAATGCAATGGCGCAACTCCAACTGGGTGGACGGATTCCCCGAGCTGGTCAGCTCCATGACCATTGCCGACGTGAGTCCTAGGTTCGCCGTGAAGCGCATACTGCTTCTGTACGAGAACGCGCAATACAGAGAGGCCGCCAATTTCATAAACCGCCTCAGTCACAACACGTTCACGTCCATTCTTAACCAGCTGCCCATCGACCTGTTCGTCGAAGCCATGCCGCACAGCCTATCCATACTAGAGGCGCTCTACGCCAAGGTATTCCTGTCGTCCGACTGCGGCGTCAAGGTGTTGAGGCCCGACCACGTGCTCATGCAGCTCGTCAAGTTGTTCACCAGCACCACGGGTGGCACCGAGAGATGGTTGGGCAGCACCAGAAAGCTGTTGAAAGTGATCGTCCTGTCCGAGCCCAAGTTGCGCAAAGCGTTGCAGGTGCGCCGCCGGTCGTTGGACAAGGCGGTCGAGGGTCTAGGGCAGCACGGGTTGGTAGGCACCAGCGACGAAACTTTGACCAACTTGCACGACGCGCTCAAAGTCGAGTTCCAAAAACTGGTGGACACGTACAAAGCGGCTTTGCTCAAGCTCGAGGAGCTCAGTCTGTCCGGTAAACGGGACGGGGTTAGCAAGGGTCCGGCGCCCGTGCAGGCCTCGCACCAGAGGCAGTTGTCGCTCCGGCAAACCGACATCCAGGAACGGTTGATCAAAAATAAAACGTTGCTGAATGTCGTGGAGCCCGTTTTAGAAAACAAGTCGATGGCGATACTCTTGACCATACTTAAACGGCGCGTCGAGTACGACAAGGACGCGTTGTTCCAGTTCACCCAGCTCAAAAAAGAACTCAAAGTCGATTCGGAGCCCGTCCTCGCACCTCTGTTGATGAGATACTCGCACGCTTGCGAACAAGTGAGTTCAGTCGCGTTGTACAGATCATCGTGTGTAATTATAGATCATATCAAGTCGTATGTGGGTTAGGCTAGTCGGAAAATTCGGTTTCGCAGTCGTCACGAATCGTTCAAACGGTAAGATACATATAATAGTATCGACCGTACATAGATACTAGTGTCGAACGCGGGTGGAAATGTGGTGTCACCGAATGTGTATCTATGCGATTCACAGAAGTGTCGTACACGAGATCAATGACCGTGTGGACAAGTCCATCGCTGCCGCTGTCGAAGCGTTATTATCAAGAAAACTAGCTGCACACACATACACACACACACACACACACACGCGCATCCGCTTTTCTCACATATTCATCTTTTCCATTATGCTCATTCTATAACGCTAACGCGGTGTGTGAACGAACTGACATCCGTGGTATAATTTTTGTATACGGTAACTGTAAAATAAGGCATTATGAGCACGCAATAAGCGTAATACTCCGAGGGCACCGTGTAATTTCTGCCATTTTGTAGTTGGCTTAAGAATATTGGAAGTACATTATGCATGTATACCTACACGGTGTACGAAGTTGCCTAGACGTAACCGTCTTGTACGCCATACAGTATTAATATAGTTTTTAATAGTAACGTAATTGCATCATAATACGAATGAGTGTTTTTCATAATTGTAATAATATAATAGTATTCGACTTCATTAGCATTTTCTTTTCTATAGATCAAATATTACGCAAATCGGCCAACATATCGTTAGTTAACTTTTCATCCAATGTTGTAACATATAAACAACACTCTCAATGTCATACTTATTTAATACTCTCAATGTGCGTTATGCCTACTTGTTTAAAATTCGTTTTCTCCAAGGCGTTCCGTTTATACTCGTAGAACAATACCGTCAATTATCAAAATGCGGTTATTCAAACGTATAAAAGAATGGAAAAAAAAAGATACAAATAGATAATTGTTTTTCTTTATACCTAGTGTGTTAAATATTTTTAATTTTATCACACTGTTGTTTCGTCTCTTTAATAACGTCAACAAACTTTTTCGATTTAATTTTTCTTACTTTCTGGACTATTTCGATTCCTAGACTTCAAGTCTAAAGAATCTCAGCCTAATCTTTCATTTTCTCCCTTATACCAACGTCACTTCTAAGCAACCTCTTGTGAAACGCTCTATTTTCTATTTCTGCGACGAAATTTCTCCTTAACCTAGTAAATTTCTCATATAATTTTCAATACCACTGAACATAATATCTGTCCTCAAATGTATACTAACCTGATATTTTCTATCACAAATTTTACTAGCATAGAGTACGCGTACTACAACTTTAAATGGTCAGGTGAGGTTATAATACAAATTGTCGTGTTAATCAAGTCGGATGTCTAAAGAACTATGTTTTCAGTTTTTACTTTTCTTAAGTATAAACTAACACAAGAACAATTTTTAATTTTTAATAGAAATTAAAAATTCGACGTACTGCCAGTATAACAATTTGTGGAAAAGGATAAATGTCAATAAGTTTAGAAGCTACATATTAAATAAATAGAGTTATCTTAAAAAAAACTAAGTCGTATAGTGTGCATGAGTGAGTGTTTTTATACTTGAAAAACTGTGGGGTTAGGTGATTAATATTTTTGTTCTCTAGGGACATTATGTTAACGATAAACGGAATCAACTCATCAATTGTTTTAAATCGTTCGCCGAATTACATTCTTACCCGCGTCAATGACCTTACTGTTTAGAATAATATGTAAATTTTTTGCCCATTTTTTAAAATCATAATTATAGATGTGTTAAATAAATATAAGTACGTTTATGAATTATTTATTTTATTCATGGTTCGAAAATATATTGAGCTAAAAATTATTTGTTTTACTTGTCCATTCAAAATAATATTATGTTGAGGTATATATTTACAGTACCTACAAATGATACATATTCTTAGACAACAATTTATCATTTTAATGTAATTCATAATAAGCTTAATAAATCAAATATAATAATACCGTTATGTATAATCGAGGCCTGTAACGTACCTATTACCTACTAATGGTTTAACATGTGTTTTTTAATGGGACGTAGACAGCAGGACATTAATAATAAGTTTCAAAGATGAATGATGATTTTAGTTATACTCGTGTCAAAAAGTTAACAAGTAACACCCCGTCGATTTTAAACCTAATATTAACTAATTAATGTCTAAAACTTTAGCTAACATTTGATATCCAATTTAAACAAAGTTTATCAGAAAATTGCTTTGTTTTTAATTGTAAATTTATCGATTTGTTAATATTAGTTTACACTTTTTGTGATATAAAAATACATAAATGTGGACACTAATCATTAACTGCATTCATATTACGTTTTTCATATTATGTATGTTACAATAATAAAGTAATTAAAATGCCTTAACAGTAAAGCACAAATATTAACTATAAATAACGAACAAAACCACTGTTAAACTAATTTCAGTTACCATTCGTAATTAAATTTTTCACTACAAAATTAATTTTTTTATGAATGTTCGAAGTTGAAATATTTTTCATAAGTAAGTGATGATTTTAAATTAATAAATATCTTTTACAAGTGTCATTTTTTGTTTGTTTTACAAGATACATATATTTATAATAAAAACATAGGTGTAATATTAGAGTTCTCATTAGATACTATTTTAACCGTAGTCGCAAGATAGTTTTATACATAGTATATTTGTTCAGATAAAATAGCCTAAATAAACAAATATTTTAAAAGAAAATGTTTAAAGGCACATTTCAAATACTTGTACTTATAACCTTTTGATTTAATGCGTCATAAAATCATTAATAAAATTATGTTTTGATTTTATTTTCTAACCATTTTATAGAAAATACAATTTTGTTTAAATTTTAAACATCGAAAGTACTTGAAATCGGTTTTGGTTTAATGGACTTCGTGAAGACAACACGTATTGACATTGAATCCATTAACCCGTTGGTACACTAAACGATACACGACATTTAAACGGGTTAATGAGGTGTTGTTCTGAATCATAAACCATACGTTTATTGACTTTCTAACCAGTACCTATATGTTGCTTACCCCGTAATGGCGAAGTACACTTTTTTTTTTATTACATTAATTTCACACATGTTTTTTACGAGTTTTTAATGCGTCCAACCGCCAAAGTACTTAGCCGATACACAATTTTTGTTTTATCGAGGTTATCCGAGCAGCGAAATTATAGGAAAATAAATAATCCTGTTATTTTAATGTCTAATCAACACAATTAATAGCCGGTTTAGGTGCAAGTGTGCAACTCATGATGTTCGATCACATGTATCAATTGATTTGTCTAATAATTAGACACTAATTGGCCGTCAAAAAATACTATAATATTGCTAATTACACAGTGCCCACTACCTAAGATTGGTTGGTTTACTTTTTCGCTTGTAAAGCATTTGGCGGTGACCGCAGTCGTGGATTGAATTCGGATTTTCCCTATTACCGATACATATAATTATTAAGGCGAAACAGTACATATCGATGTGAAAGTATCACTTCGACTAGCAAAACAAATAAATGTTGGTTGTGAGAATATGATTCTCGGGCGAACTGAAATCATGATCCCGAGATATTCGAGATAACTTTGAAGTACAAATTACCAATATTATAACTAATCATTAAGCATATTATTTTCTATTTTTTTTTTTTTTATCATGATATCGTCCGAAACTATTTCCGTTGAACGAGTAAGGATTTAGGAAATTTGAGCGAACCCCACCCAGACAATCTACATTAACCCGTCGGTAATTGTTTTTTTTTTTTTTTAGGTTTTAGAGCTAATGAAAGAAGTAGCTGAAGACGAAGACTCAAGTGATATATCTGGATACCATTCTGACTCTGACAGTGCCATAATGATGTCAGGAAATTCACCCTATGTCACCAAACGAGCGAGACACAATTTTATATCGCGTTCGGGTAAATCATATTTTTGTTTACTTTATTATTATAATATACTTTCACAATAAAATCGATAGCGTTGACCCAGAGCTAAAAAGGTAATTATTTTACAACGATGAAGTTTTTAATTTTTTTTTTGTTCGCTGATCAAGTATCCTACGTCAAATACGCTTTAACGGGTCAGATATAAAAAAGTATACTTTTAGTAAAAGTCTTTTACCCTATCAAAATCGAAAAAACTCCTTAAAAAATGAACAGATTTAACTTAATCCCATGAAAACTTAAATTTGAAAAGTATTTATAAACAATATTTTTAAAGATTTATTAGCCGTGCCTTCAGGAGAAATAATGTGAGATACGGTTGTGCTACAAAAAAAAAAAAAAAATGGTGGGTTTTTATAAACTACGTCAGGCCAAAAACAAAAATATGCCATAATTTTTTCTCACCGCTACTACCACATCCTGAATCTCCTCGAAATGGATCAATTTTTAAATAGCTCACTAAATTACCATCGCGATCCCATTTAGTAAACTGTGTATTAGTTAAAATTTCGGAATAACAGACAAATATAATTGTATGCGTTATATTGACCAAATAGGTAGGTAAATCATTTATAAACTATTTTAAATCTATATAACTTATAATTTTTAAGTAATAGAAGACCAAAATATTTGATATTTTGTTCTGGTTAATAAACTGATTTATTATATCATTCATATTTCATTATTTCCCATGATATTTCGTTTCGCGTAGGCGTTATATTATGTTGTATTCAATATCGATTTGTTACTTGAATGTGTTTCTAGCTATGCATTCTATATAAAATATATAGTATATATATTCTATTCAATCTCTATATTATGACTCTATGAATGATTATATTATTGTATGAAAATCGAGAATGGAGGAATGTATAATGCTTTCGACGAATTAATTATTGACATGGGCTGTTTTAATTTGTAATACACATAAGATTATAAGGTAGTTAATGGTAAATGTGTGTAGAAAGTTTAACATGCGGGTTTACATTAATTCGAATTCCATCGTCTTTATAACTGAGTGTGTTGTAATTATTTTGTTCGCACGGAATAGTATATACTGCACGGTTTTATGACATTAAAAATAACCATTTCTATTTTATCGTTTTCATGAGAACATAATTTTTTTTTTAGGGAAACCGTTTCCCGTTTTGACTTTAGAGGCGAACAAAGGTTTTGAACTGGCCAATTATTATTATCATCGTTAGCACAAATTATATATTTATAAAAACGTATTATATAGGTGAGACTATTAGCTGTTATGAGTTATATATATATATATATATTTTTGACAGAATATATTGGTCGATACATGTGTTTTTGGAATGGCCGACCAAGTGAATAATTGTGTAGATCAATTAACTATAGCTGGAAATAACAATGCGATTCGCTACGGTTTATTAAATATTTACAAAACCAATATCGGTATTCGATGTAGGTATCTATTTGCCGTTGGACGCATGAAATTGCTTAACTGAACGCATTATTATGGTAATATGTGGGTTTTCGTTACACGTATAGGTAATGTAGGTATTAAATGCAATTTGGTCTAACGGAACAATATCGTGTCGGTGCTATAAATTAGGCAAATATATTATGCCCGATGCGGTGTAAGTGCGTTCGGCGTAAACAAGCAATATTTACCGCCGTTTGCCGGAGACGCGAGCCGAACCGAAAAACCGCATGCACGTTAGAGTAAAAAACAAACAAAAATGGTTTGCCCATTAGTGTATTTTTGAAGCCATGGGATCCACGAAAATAATATATCGTTTACAGAAGAGGTATGTGAGGGGACGGCAGTGTTGTCAAAAGCATCGGTTCTCGGTTTCACGTCGCGAATTAAATCGAAAAAAAATGTACGTATAAGAAAATACCGGAATGCGAGTTACACCCGGTCGGAGGTAAACATAATAAAAAAACCAACAGGCATAATAATGTTGTACAGCATAATATACGCCATACGAGACCGCTGCGGGCGAATAAATTGCATTGTGATATGCGTGTGCGAGAGGTCTGCCCACCACAGCCCCCCACGTGACACTTAAAGTGCATTCTGACCCATTTTGCCCGTGACCCTCGCATGATGATATCGCATCACACGACGGTACACGGCAAACACGGCGTAAACATCAAAACACAATCAGAACTACCGACTTTCCTTTTGTCCGAGGAAGTATCCTGCCTGTATAGCCGTTGTATTATAGTCATCCTTAATTTTTTTTTAAATAATAATTATTACAAATCTAGTAGCTCCACACGAGTCGGCCGTTCGCTACCATATTATCTATCGCAGAGAAATCGTCGGTTGCCCGCCGTGATGTGTACCTGCACGTGAGAACTTTTTTTTTTATATTCACATAAGAGAAGATACAAACAAACCGTGTATACCCTACGTGGTCAATAGTATATTATATATTTTTTTTGCGACGTGTTAACGCGAATTTACCGGTCGCCGATAAGTCTCCGCCAAAATACGCGCCTGCCGGTCGGCGCGATAATCATCATTAAATTCCGAAAGTCGTGCTCGCGCATTAACGCCCCTGTAAAACATACCCAGACGATAATAATTTCACATTACACATGTCTTCACGTACTTACCTATATAATACATACACATAGACACACTCACACACACCCAACTAGCATACTGTATACTTAGACTAGACAAGTATATTTAAACGGATCCGTCGATCGGCGGCACGTATCCACGGCACGGTAGTGTGATGAGCAAAAACGTTTCGTTAATGAAGATATGCTGAAATAAACGGAGAAAATTAAAATAATTATGTTCTACGGGATTTTAGTTAAAACTCTATTCAAAATAATGTATCGCTTTCGGCCGTCGCTGAATACACTGTTTGACAGCTTTGACTAGGTAGTGTAATCCCAACAAGAAACCCTTGGTTTGCTTGTTTAACCATAATACTGGCAACAACGGTTAATCTTAGGAATTCGTCAGTACTTTAAACAAGCACATAAAAAACATTGGCGCATCAATGAACCAAAATTGGAAACGAGAAAAAAAGCCATCCTAAATCACATGCAAAAAATCGTATCGATGTATTAACAATTTTATAATTGCAAAGTACACGTTATAAGTTATAACAACAGTATAATATAATTTAACTAAGTTCAGGTGAAAATGTCAACTGTTTAAGAACTGCTAATAAAAATTATATATTGAAAAACTAACGAACCATGATAAAGAAAAATGTTAGAGGTTAAAACAGAATGGGAATTGAAAAGATAAGATGGTTTCATATTATGCAAAAGAAGTCAGCCGTTACAACATTATGTCAATGAACTTGTTATAATAAAATGTGGTATGGTTATATGAACAAGTATGATTATGATTATAACTTTTAAAATAGCATCACAATATTTAACTGATAATTTAGCAATTTTCAGTAACTAATTTCTAGTTATGGTTAATAGTAAAAAAATTAAAAAAAAACCCCTTTTAGATATTTGACTTGTATTTTTGTACTTGTGTTATACTATGTTGTTTTCGCGAATAGCTATAGCCAGAGGAAACCTCTTTATGTAATGATTCGATTTTGAGATTATGGGACGAAATTCGTAAGTAGTTTTGGAGGCAATCCGTTTATAAATGTTCAGACTATTTGAACCCTAGACTTACATAGTAATATATTCCACTTTGATCTAAATGCATATCTACCCAACTTGAAAACAAATCGCCCGAGGAAAGCCCCATAGATTTAGACCCAGCTTAAGAGATCAAGCCTATCGTAATTCGTAATTACCAAAATTGTCCAGAAACGTATAGCACAACTGGAATTTAATGATTTTACATGTAACACCATAGCCAGTAACACGGGTACAAACTATTGTATTAAATAATACGAAAAATAAAGAAAATTGGGATTATCAAATAATGTGTTGTCATATATATTATACAATATACAACAGTAAACACTATACAGTACACCGTGTAATAGAACCCAAGCGATTTTGTGTCATTTGCTGTAGGTTGTCATAATGTATCGGTGTAGCCTGTGGGCATGTATCAACGATGTAAAACAACAAAAGTTGTGTAAACAAAAATTGCTGTTTTTCTTTTTTTGTTAATTCCGAGTGCAATTATTACAAGATAAAATGATTCCTAAAAATCAATATTGCCAGTCTTCGTATGAACTTTATAGGTTAAACTTTCATTTATATATCCGCATCGGAATTAAGTGTCAAAATGTGATATTTAAAAGTAGTTTCCCGTTAACGTTATACGCGTTAGTACGTTAACAACTAGTACGTTGCACCATACACCAACATACGGCGACCAAGTCGGTAATTTGATATTCCAAAAAATATTACAAACGACGGATTTTTTGACAGATTTATATATTTAAAAAAAAAAAACGTGAACCTTTTTAGCTCCGTTTTGAAGCTAAAACTCGGTTAACAAGCTGTATGTATGTTATACTAATCCTTAAACGCGTTTTTATTTATGTATTACAGTGAGATCGAGCAGCAACCATAGCACTCGGACCAGGTTGGTGTTAAGCACTGGGTCGAGTTCGGCAAGTCCACCGGATGGAGCGGAATCGTCCACGACGGGTTCGTATGCCATCCGGCAGTTTTTTTCTCTTATGTTAATTTGCGCTATTCTAGCAGCAGCAGCAGCAGCTGTCGCGCATTATTTATTTTATGGTCCGCTCGCACGCATCCGATCAAGCACAGAGAAAGTCGCACGCGGTACCCAAACCATCTGCAGTTATTACTATTATTATTATTGCAATTTGCATTGAGGAAGCGATCAGCAGCGAATGGGGCAACAATGATAGTACGTACAACGATTTGCGACACAGAAAAGCTGCCACAGAAAACACTAGCTGTTGGTGTATTTACATATAGTTAAACTAAACCGCTTTCCCCCCCTACGGCTGCACCGCCACGGCTGTAGGCGTCTGGGAGTGTGCTTAGGCTATGGTGGATATGGGATCAATAATAATTCTGGGTTGGACGGAAAAGTGGCTGAATAAAAATGTATCATAATATAGGAAGGCGGAGGATTGGATGGAATCAATGCGATGTGCGAACGAACCGTTGCTTATATTTTACATTTGTACACGGTTTTGTTTTTACGTTTGCCTTAAATTTGTATTGTGTGTTTTTTCATGGTTCAGCGGCGCCCAATTGGGAATGGTCGACCGAGAAATCGGTAAACACGTTGACCTGCTGTCACAAGTGTGAGCCACAAGCCACTTTGCAGATGCAAGCGGCCAACGACGGCCGCGAGTTGTTGGCTCTGCAAACCGAACTAGAGACTACCAAGGCCGAATTGGAAAGAACCAAAGCCAAACTAGAGTCTGCCACTAAAGTCGCTAAGCAGACGCAAGCTTCCAAGTACGTTCGACTAATAATAAACTAAACATATACATGCCGAGTTGCATAATTTGTTAGTTAATTAAGTTATATCTTATAAGTACGAAAAATGTCCCGTTCAAAGATGATTTATACTAGAGAAAATAGTAGAATATTATGTTATTCCCTTTACGAGACACATGCTCGCTATAATAATTTCATTATTACAAGTCATTTAAAAATATATTCTTTTACTCTGCCACTCGTTGCATTTAGTCGTTTTTTGCGTGACGGCGAAGAAATGCGCATTTTTTATTTGAATTATTAAAAGGTTTTATTTATTCAGTTAAAACAACTATCATCCCTTTTTTTCTAACATTACTCATCAATTATTTTTCGTGCTCGCAATCCTTTAATACTTGGACTTTTCAAAATTATACCATGTAATGCAATTACGAAGGTTCCGAAATATTTTGTTTTACGTTCATTCATCAAAGAGTTCTTAATGAAAGTTACTCAAGCGTCAGGGCCGAGTCTCACTATCGGGTAATTTAATTAATTATAAACGAATCCATTTTTAAAATAGCAATAAATATTATAATACGAATAAAGCGACTTTTTTTTATCTCGGTTCCAGAGTTTTTGTTATAGTTTATAAAAGAATAAAAAAAAAACATAAAATAATATGATTAAAAGTTAAAACGCTGTGTACACTAAATTTGTTATACTAATCTTGTTATGTACAAAATACATAAATTATTTGCATAAATAGTCAATTGAGTTTTAAGTTAATTACCATTGCCTGCAATCACTAATACTTTTACTGCGCTAATATCGTTATTTTCCATTATTTGTTTCACGAACAAAAATGTATGTTGACTTACTAGTTAATACTTACAACTCTGAATCACATACCTACTTAAATTGATAATAATAGTAGAAAAGTGTCACTTGTCAATACCGTTTAAATACCGTTGGTTAATTTTTTACAGGGAGTTAAGCGGAACGAGGTTGGTCAGATGTTACGGAAATTTGTATTCTCAGGCTCGCGTGGAAGCTCTGGAAAAGTTAGATTTACTACCTCAGCTCCTCGACGCCACAGAACTGAAATCGAAAATACTTTTTTCCGTCGTCGTCGTAAGTCAAACACCGCCTCTTGGTGTTTAATCATTTTATGGTTATACTACAGATTGCTAAATAACCTTAATTTCGCCTTCGCAGTTGGCCTTCAGGTCGACACAAGCCATGCTGAACCAAAAAAAAGAACAAGTGAAAAGACTGTTATTCTATCCAACTCCTTCGGGTCCTGCGCATGTTGAATTGGAGGCGTCTATATGCGCATACTTAAGAAGAACCGTCGACACGTTCGACTTGACCCAATGCATTGAGGTATGGAATTTCAAATCACATTATTATCATTATTATTTTTGAAACTTTTAGTAACCCTGTGCGATTCCCTAACAGGAAGTAAGTTCTCAGCTGTGGGCAACTCTGTACGATTACCCTTGTCTGAAGACTTGTTCGGGCCTCCATCAGTACATACGCGATTCCGTTCGTTTAGCCTGGGCGTTAGTAAATCAAGTAAGGCTTTTAACATAACAATAATATTATACCAGTAAACTAGTTTTTATTAAATAATTTCAGTCCAAAACTGTTTTTTTATTTTAATTGTGTGATATAACAAATTATACGATGATTACGCTGTTCGCACTAATAAACGCAATTGTTATATATGATGTTTCAAACGGGCGCCAAAATAAAACGAAACGTGCTTTTTATTTGAAAACGTTTTATTTTTTTATGTCGACAGTTGTTTTTTTTTTATCACCACGGATGATTTATGGGTTTCACGACTTAATTTGCCTACAATAAAAATAATTTTCATTTGTTTTCGAAAAATTAATTTATCCAATTTAACATGTTTCTTTGTTTGCATTTTTTCCCCTTCTTGTAGACACCCAGTTATGTTTTGGAGTACGAACAACGGGCGTTTAAACGGGACTTGCATGTGAGGTACCATGCTTCGAATTTGGAAAGCGATCAAGTCCGGACTTACTTGTGGCCTGCGCTACTCGAAGGACCCAACGGGCCGTGTGTACACAAAGCCGTGGTACTAACGTAGATGGTTATCAGCAACTGTTATCTTATTATATAATTATCTTAGTAACGTTTACCGGAATACTGCTGTAAAATATTCAGGAGTAGTCGTGCGTGGATGCAAAACTCATACCGATAAATAATGTTGTTGCGTGACAATAATAATGTGCTTTAATTATTATTTATATTGGTTTACTTGTCCGGATTGTACTTAGAACGGACTAATTTTTCGTGTAAACGCATAATATAATAATATGATGAATCCTCCTGTTTCTATTTCATATTTTTTAATACTAATACTTTATTATGCGTATGCGGGTAAGCGTGGCCGGAATTGAAAATGTTTATACTCAAAATTCAAATCATACTTTGATTATTTTGACGCAGAGATGTTACGAGACGTTTGAATACATATTATTATAAATTAGTGATCATTAATTTGTTTTGTAATATATTATTATTATTATCATTATAAACTACATTAATGTTTAAGAACAAAATATATTTAACAGAAATATTACGTTGTTATGTTTGTAGTATGTTGTATTATTATTGTTAGATAAGTGTACTTATCCGTGTACTATTTTTTAAAATGATATTGTATTGTTTATTAAAACAAAATTATATTTCCTACGTTTGTAATAGTTACACATAATATTAGTATACAAATGAAATGTAAAGTTAATTTTCTTGTACTTTATATTGTAATATTTATTTATAAGGATTAATTTATTCTTTCTAACTTAGAATTTTTTTTACTGTTTTACTTAAATTTAAGATTTAGTACTTAAGTAGTGCATAATATACCTATTACTCAAAAATGTTTGATTAGTATAAATTACGGGTTTCGCAGATATATGCAAAAAGAGATCATTTATATGTATTGTCTAACAACGTGTGCATTATACTTTCTACATATTATTACGAAGATAAACACGTAAGACATTATTTTTACTACTTTAGAGACATTTGAGATGGCAATATGCTTGTAATAAAAATCAATAAAGAATTAAATATTACACAAAAGTAAATCAAGACTCCGAAGTTTGGAGTTTGCGTTTTATCTTCTAAGTAAAACCCGTCTCGCGGGAAAAGGTACTTCACTTAATAATTTAGTTCGAATTACATTTGTTTGTTTAACTTGTTTGTAGTGTGTTTATTGCACGTATTAATATAAAATTAGTTAACCTTCTATCAGTTCAATTACTTCTATTAGATCAACCTTTGCGCGGTTTTCTTAAATTAAGAAAACTAAGAAATTAAATTAAAAATACTAAACTTAAATTAAGTGTGGCTTAGGTAAACTTTTCACGTTTGTCATACAAACTACATTATGTGGCTAAGGGTACATTTTTACCCCGCGCGACGGATAGAAGTTCATTTATATTATGTAAAATTCCCAAAAATGTTTAAAGCAAATTTATTATATTATGTGATTTACTTTCTTAAAAAAAAATCTACTCATAAGGAAAACTATAGTTTTATAATATAGAAAAATAACATGAAAATGTTATAATTATATTCGTATTTTTATGCAGTTTTCAGAGTAATATAAATATGAAATAAAATGCTCGGAATCTTAATAACAAGACGTTTGTTTTATTAAACACCACAACAACTATAATGGCATAATTATTGTAAAATTAAAGTTTTTAAATCATTTTTAAAATATTTAGTATCTAGATTACAAATCGAGAGATTTGACGAGTTGGGCGTTGTGACGTAGGCAGCCCCAATGACACGATTTCAAATACCGGCGTAAGAAGCTTAATATTATTATTGTTTGTTATTTGCCTATCTAAATAGCCGTGTACGTGTAACATAACTGTAATATTAGAGTATTGCTGAATATATATTCAACAATCAAAAGTTTACACTTTTGTAAATTGTGTTTTATACTAAATGCATTTTACAGTTGTAGTCTATATTTTGGCACTCAATTAAGACAGGTGTAATTGTCTACAAATTGTAACTGTCAGTAAATAGTAAATAATGATTACAATAATTTTAAAATAATAATTTAATTATTCTTAAAAATAAAAACTTTAACACATTTTATAGTATATTCGCAAGACCGAAAACAACTTTTGAATTATTTATTATTTATGACGTACAACAAGTAAAATAATGGACGACGATGGAATAAATTGAATTCGTTAAATTAACAAAATTCATTCGTTTTCTTAAATAAGATATAATTATTTACAGTATATTATATATTTATCTACAGGGTGGCCACAAAAACGACTTTACATTTTCAAAAAAGCAAAATAATATACATTTTTCAAAAAAAAAAAATGTTTTTAACTTATGTAACATGTTTGTGGGTGTACGCCATTTATTTTACGGCAATTTTCTTTGGATGATTTGAAAGCGGCAATTCGTACAGAGGTGGCACTAATCACGAGGGAGACACTAGAACAAGTGTGAAAGAACTTCCTCGAAAGAATTGAAAATTGCCTCATGGAAGACGGACATTACCTTTCTGACCTCATTCTTGCTACTTAAAGTAAATGGCTTAAACCCAAAAACATAATATTATATAATATCAAGTTAAATACATTTTTTTTATTTTGAAAATTACCGTAAAATAAATGGCATACAAACATGTTACATAAGTTAAAACAATTTTTTTTGAAAAATTAATATTTGTTTGCCTTTTTGAAAATGTTAAGTGTTTTCGTGGTCACCCTGTATATATATTTAACGTTTTGAAGTATGTTGGTCCTGACTAGTAGTTTACGTGATAAACAAAACCATTATAAAATACCCTCAGAGTACAAATTCAATAATAAACGGTGAAAAATAGATGTGTGGTTTACTGATCATACGTATACTTTTAAAATGATAAATGGAAATAGTAATAAGTAATTTGTAATTGTGTAGTTAAAAATCAATACCTTCTCAGCTTTGCAACGAAGCTAAAATCATGGTTGCGTTGTAACGATATTTGTATTACATATTATGAGTTAGCCTAAAAATTAATAGGCATCAATTGATCTCCACTACATCGTAATTGTTTAAATAACAATAGAAATACAGTATTCTATTGCTCGTACTTAAAAAAAACAACCACCGTGGGCTTAAAAATATTTATGTTATTCCGTATATTATCATCTATCACACTCACAATATTTTGCAGACTTAAAATCAACTGTTATGTGTTGTCCTCATTTCCTTTGATAACGTTTTACTATTATCTAGAATACTTATTAAATACGTACGGTTTTAATATTTGCTAAATTAGGAAATAAAGTTTTATTAGCTTAACGGACAATTGTTATGACTTATGGGGGCTTTTGAAAGAGTAATACATTTTAAAACGATAATTATTAACTGAATACTGTACACAATGATATTTAGTAGAGCACAAAGTAAATTACAAAAAAAAATATTTTCTTATGCCCGCAGACTCGTAGTTAAGGTTTTTTTTATACCGAGTCAGTGTATATTGTAAAAGAACATTATTTACACACATTTACTTAACGATTAAAACTGTACACTCGAATGTTATTATACATTTATCTCCCAGATATCGTTTATGAACTAATTTTTTTAATAATTGTAATTTGTACGTAGAAGGGCGATGATTAATGGCTTTAAAAGTATCGGCAATAAACGCGAAGGTTTATAATTTTAAAAAATGGTACGTTAAGATGATTTTATTTTTTTTAATTGCGAATGTGTAATTATGCGAAAAATTAAAAACGTATAACGAGTGGTAAGTGGTAACAAATAACTGGTAAATGGTATAATAATTATTGTAGTGTTATTGGCACAACATGCATACCTATTTTAAAAGACTGGAGGCTAGTGTAAGCGTTGGGGTCGGCAGGTCGAGGTCGACTCCTGAAGTCAAGGCTAATAAAGTATTTAAACACACACAACACAAGAAGTGGGTCCGAAGGCTTGTTCGTCCGAAATCAATTTTTTTACCGAACATTACTATTTAGTATATGATACCTTCAACTGCTATTATTACCAGTAGTCACTATACATTTATAGCGAGCCATAATTTTTCATGCGTAATTTAGTTGTTTACTAGGTGTTTTTCGTAAAATAATTTTATTTTGACGTTTTTATGTTGTTCAACGGTTAGTAAATTGCTTACATACAAACGTATACATCACAACTGATTTAGGCACAGGTCCGACTGATAATAATATGTAGCTCATAAAATATTGAAATATACCTAATCCGCATTTATTAGGAATTGTGTACAGTTATAGTATAATCTCGTTTGATATTTCCTTGGACGTGCGATATGCGGGCGTTAACGAGTTAAGTATGCGAAAAAAAATGTCTTTTAAGCCGGTAATATAATCTTTACGGCGCGTTGGAATTTATTAACATGTCAATTTTCCTATAGGTAAACAAATACCTAATAGATTGTAATAGAGTTGGGCGTAGATTATTAAAATAACATTTAGCGATATTATCGTGTAGCGTTTAGTGAAAGTAATACTAATGAATAATATTATGATATATATAATTAATATGGTTTATGCTGATAGTATTAATAACAGCGGTACTATGCTGTTGTTTAATTTATAAACATTAAACGTCATTAAACACAGTATAGGATCAATAATATAATATTATGTTGGTATTATAACGCATGCAGTATCTATAGGTATGTGAATATTGGGATAATGTATATGAAATTATAATAATATATTGTTGTGTATCATTTTGCTATGTTAATGTTCTGACAATTTCGGGTGCACAAACGTTGGACTTTGGTGTATCGATTAATAATATAATATTAATAATTACATATAAATAGGTTAAACATCAATAATTATTATTACTGTTTTAGGTGTTGCCGTCGTGATTATATGGTAATAATTATGTTTGGTTTCTTCTGCAATTGGTCACTATGAGTATCCACTACTCACGAAAGACGAAACGCCGTTTGAAATAGAACATTATTATTTTTAAATACAATACTGATGTGTGCAGCCTACATGCACTCGCACGATCCAAACACAATATAGTATATACGGCAGATAGGTATAATGGAAACCTACGGTTTTAATTATTAATTTTGTAAAGCGTTTAATTTGGCGCCCGCTTGCTGCATGTTTTCATCTCGAAAAATAGTAAAACACAATAATAATAATAACGTAATGCAAGTGACCTCACAAACCGTAGTCGTCGGTGGGCTCAGATGTAGGTACCTATACATTATTACATACACCGATATTTTATTTTTCTCTAGAAACTGCGCAGCGTAGTGCAATATCATATACCTACATAGTAGATTATAATCACTTTATTAAAATTCATGGTCATTAGAATTTTATGATAAATAAAATATAAATATCTTTAAACATATATTGAAATTTAAAATAATCGTTAAAAATGTTAAAAACAAAATAAAACTGATAGAAAATTCCAAAAAGTCTTAATTTTATCGGTTTATGTTATCGACTATCGGTATTGCTTTTAAACTCATTTTTTCGTATAATATTTCTTTATCATTATCATTTTACTAATGTTGCATATTTTAAAGAATTATAAAGAGTGAGATCGAGCGTTTTGTTGAAAATTATATTTTTAAAAGTTCTACCTTTAATGTTGATGTTTATTGTTAAAAAAATAATTGTTAAGAATATTTTCTGAACCCTTAGTTGCATCATATTTTTTTACATAGAAGCATTAAAATGTGAAGTATGAATTGAATTTTAATTAACGGGTTGTCATAGTTAAATAAGATAATATAGTTTCAATCAATAATATTAGTGGAACTCAACATTGTTTATTATTTGTGTATTAATACTGGTTAGTGATTACACAACTGGAGATTTTTTATACCAGTCAAGTCAAATTTTAACAAAAGGGAAATTTTACTAATTTGGACTCAGAAAAATATAAACCTAAAACATTTAACGCACCCTAATTTTGCAAAAATTGCATTTAATTCAGCGAAGGGTTTATCAATATTTTTGAGGTTAAGTTTCAGAGTCAACTATAAACTTACATATTATTAATATTGTATAATTGGTTTCCTTTAAAAAAAATGTCTAATTTTGTAATGACTGGTCAAAACCTAGTTATAAATATTTGTATAACATTATTTTGATCGTTGAGTTAAGAACTGCTATGATTTGAATAAGTATTTTTTTTAGGTAATACGAGTATAGTTATTTTATATTATTTTATACTTATAGAATATTTTATAATATCTTTATACCTACTATTATAGCAACTGAGATCAACGGTAATTATACACACTAGTGAAGTTATGTGCACGTTTTTAAATTGTTATTTTTATGATGATAGTAATAATATTATGATTAAGCTGTTTGGTATTATTATTAATTAGCTTAGCGATCGGTTGATGCGGTGTAGGTGTACAATAATTATGGAAAGCAATGTTTACCTATACTACATTAATTGTCTCTCACAAATCACGGAGCCCAGCAGTTTTTTTTTTTTTATGTAATATTGAGTTGATAGAAACGTG